TTCTTATTGTTGTAAATATCAATATGGGAGAATAATTAAAAAGTAAATCAGGGAAGAGTCGGGGGCTCTCGGGGAGAACGAATGAAGAAGTCATGCTGTTCAGTTGAGTTGAGTTCTCCAAGTATCATAATGACAGTAAAGTAAGTTTATATTTTTTATATATTTTCTCTAAGTATATTTTATTGGTCAAAAGGTATTCTGCTTGACATTTCTCCTACCTAAATTAATGTATTTAATTCTTTAATAAATTTATATTTTGTTTTTATATATATTGATTGTTTTAATGATCTTCGATACCTAAAACGTCCCTAGCCGCAACCCTCTAAAACGGGGTCGCGACATGTGGTGGAGGCGCCCTTTGTTTAAATCCCTATATAAGTAACCAGGATACACTTATAGACACTAGAAAGACATGTACGTAACTCCCGACTACCATCCAGCATCCACATGATGTCAGAAATGGTCAGATATTAAACAACTCCAGAATGAAAATATTGGATAGAACGTTTATTGTCAGAATTAAACGAATGATAAACAAAGAAATGTCATAGTAAACAAGAAGCAAATGGACAGTATGCTGATTCTGCAAATTTAAAAGTCGTCGTTCTCGCGCCATTGACCTTCAGCGCATATGATATTTAAATAATGCATGGAAATGAAAACAGAAAAACCCATGCAACTAGGAACACATGGATTATAGGCAAGGGTAGAAGCTGGTGTGTGCATTGCTTAGCTGATAGAAGCACCCCAAGAAAGTTCATTGGAAGATCCCAGCAGAAAATTTGCTCCCAACAGTACAAAGTGGTATCAAGATTGTTTTTATTAATGTAAAGGGTTAAAGAGTACGAGAAATTAATTTAATTAATGTTTCAAGTTACAATCCCACTAAATATTATTTTCATTGTTTTATATCACTATATTACATTGCCTCTAAGAAATATTATTCTATATTAGTCTATTTTATGAGTATTAAGTTTTATTACTTTATATGTATAAAATAACACAACACAATTTTCATTTATTTATTGCATTATTATTATATTCACAGGTAATTTATTTTAATATCTATATTTTCTTTATATTTAACGCTGGGGACCAGCTTTTTCAGGACCGGGGGAAATGTCAAGAGCAAGAATTTAAGTATTTATCATTAAAATAAATCACCCAGTATATTAAATAAAGTATATTTCTATAAACGCAATATTTGCACAATGAAAATTAAACTAGAACAAGTTGACGTCATCCTAAGATCTGAAGGTGAACTTTGTTTAATTCTTATTGTTGTAAATATCAATATGGGAGAATAATTAAAAAAGTAAATCAGGGAAGAGTCAGGGGCTCTCGGGGAGAACGAATGAAGAAGTCATGCTGTTCAGTTGAGTTGAGTTCTCCAAGTATCATAATGACAGTAAAGTAAGTTTATATTTTTTATATATTTTCTCTAAGTATATTTTATTGGTCAAAAGGTATTCTGCTTGACATTTCTCCTACCTAAATTAATGTATTTAATTCTTTAATAAATTTATATTTTGTTTTTATATATATTGATTGTTTTAATGATCTTCGATACCTAAAACGTCCCTAGCCGCAACCCTCTAAAACGGGGTCGCGACAATATGGTGGATAATCGTTTTTTATTAATGTATTTTTTATGTGGTTTATAACTTTGTTTAGTGAAATGTCATCTGTACATATTATTTTTGCTCTATCATATAAACTTTTTATAACACCTTTTTTTACACTTATACTGTGATTAGATGTGAAATTTAAGTATCTATCTGTGTTTGTGGGGTTTCTGTAAACATCTAAAATTAGTTTATTTTGAAATTTTGACACTAAAACATCAAGAAATGGTAAACGATCACCTCTCTCTACTTCTAAAGTAAATTTTATGGTAGGTTCGCGAGAATTTATATATTCCAAAAAAATATCTATTTCAGAAACGTTATGTTGCCATATTGCAAAAATATCATCAACATAACGCAGCCATATTACAGGTTTTTTTGAAAAACTATTTATTGTATTATTTTCAAAATCTTCCATAAAAATATTACTTAAGGAGAGAGAGGTGATCTCATTGCCATACCGAAATCTTGTTGAAAAAATTCATTATTTAATTGGAAATAAGTAGTTTTAACACAAAGTGTCAACAATTCCAAAATACTATCTATGTTTAATTTTGTCTATCTATTAAATGTGTATCTTGTTCTAATCTATCCCTAATTTTTTTAAGTGATTTATCTACCGGCACGTTAGTGAAAAGACTAACAACGTCAAAACTAACCATTAAACTGTTAGGTGTTATATTAATTTTTGAAATTTTTTCTATAAAGTGTGGTGTGTTTTTAATGTATGAATCGGTGTTATTTGCAATCGGATTTAGTATGTCTAGTAAAAATTTTGCCAACGGATGGCATGGAGAATTTATACTACTGACTATAGGTCTAAAAGGTATACCCTGTTTGTGTATTTTAGGTAAACCGTATAAATGAGGTGGTTTACTGTAATGGGGTGTTAATAATGTTCGTTGTAAGTCTGTTAATATATGTTTGTATGTGTATAAAGTTCTGTATATTCTTCTTTCAATAGTTGGTGTTGTTTTTTTTTTTTTAGATTTTAGATATGGGATTTTCTGACCTTTTGCATTTTAATTTTTTATCTCCAAAGCAAAAAAATGTGTGAACCTACTAGCTTCGACAAAGACATATTCTAATACAAATTTCACGCTCTACAAAAAAGGTCTTTTTGATTTTTTCCATAAAAACATTCCTTTAAAAGTTATTCGCGGTCAAAGTTGTGCACATAGTTTATAATCAAATTTTTCTCCTATTCACTGCAAATTCTAATTGCGCCTTTTGATTTTAACTAAAAAAGGATCTAGAGCCACACTTTTTTCAATAAAACAAAATTTTTTACCAACTTTAATATGGAAAACTAATATTGCGCCATCTATGATCAATTGACCAAAACCTTAGACAAGGAAAGAGAGAGCACAGGTAACAAGGCAGCTGAAAGTGAAGCCACTTGTCACCACTTGAAATTCTCCAATGGCGTAGCATCAGAAATTAGCTTGTACCTAGACGGTAAAAAATATTTATTAAAACGTTAACTAATACATCGTTTATTTTTGAGTAATGCATATACAATTTTGTATTTTAGAGTCTCACCTTTATAATATTAGAATATCTAAGTCGATAATGCAAAATTTATTTAACAGTCACAGTGAACTGATCGTCAAGACAATTATTTATTTATTAACGTGTGTATAATATATAATTAAATAAAAATAATGTAAATATATCTGTTTTAAACGTGTATATGTCGAACACGCTTAGTGTAATTGTCCGTTTCGTGAAATGGATATCCACTTCGCGAAATGGTTAGGTTAGGTTAGGTTCGCGAACTGGTTGGTTTCAGTTTGCGAAGTGGATATCCATTTCATGAAACGGACAATTACACTAAGTGGGTGCGACATAAATACATATATACCGTATGATCGAAAAACAACGGCATCATGTTTGTTTGGAAATGACGATCGATGACATTCCCCATATAATTCTACATATAAAATGACATAAAAACTATATAAAATGACATCGAAAAAAGACTGAGAGGAATGTCATCGACAGTCATTTACAAGCCAATTGGACGCCGTTTTTTTTCGATCCTACGTATAATAATGAATCTAGCCAATTCCCTTCACACTCGCCTACGGATTCGATGAATAATGTAATTTTTAATATTTGTTACCTTCAATCATAAGAATATCCTAATTTTCCGTAAAAAAAATAAACAATTCTAGAAGCTTTGTGTTATTTTATTTATTTATTTTTAAATTTTTATTAATTACTCACTGAAATGATTATTATACACCTAAATTAGCAAATTTTTTCACAGGATATTTAAAAAAATATAGTAACAATAAGTAGCCCACCACAAGTTTGTCCACCCCTAGCAAATCTTGCCAGGTAAATTTAAGTTTTACAACTATATACATTATACATATAGATTTTTTATAACCAAAATTTTTCATGTTTTTTTATAGTTTACATATTTGATAACAATACTTTATACATTTTTTTACATGTAAAATACTATATAAAAAAACGTTTATTGCAGAAATTGTATTTCTCTGATTATAATTCCATACGCCATTGGAGGAATCCAGTCTGAGTAGCATTATTTATAGTTTCAAACATTAATTATAATATAGGATATTGAAAATACTACTTGGAATTAATAAAAATAGTTTGCTTTGGATGTGGTACAAGACATATTAAAAGCATTTTACATATTTTTACTACTATGATGAAAAGATGTACATTTTATGACTACATAACAAAAGCTGTGTATCGATATTTACCTGTGAAATGTAATTCCAGCTACTTTTTTCTCGCTTCGGCCTTTGCAGCCATACGCTGAACATCTCACAATACTAAACAACAGAGTTTATAAATTTAAAACAAAACAGTATTCACAAAAAAACATAAAAATTCGCTTGGTGTCACCTCGAAATCTTGTCACCAAAGTATGACCGCCGATCAAATTTTGGCCTGAAAAACTTTTCACTGGAGAATATGCGTGTTAGCTGTCCCCTCTCTTCCCTTGTCTAAGACCAAAACTATAATTTAAGGTTATTGTTTCATTGCCTTTCAGTGTGCAATAATTTTTACAGCGAATAACTTTTAAATGAATATTTTTATGGAAAAAAACCAAAGGGACCTTTTTTATAGAGCGTAAAATGTTGTATTAGAATATGTATTCGTCGAAGTTGTAGGTTCATTTGCTTTAGAGATAAAAAAAATAAATACAAAAGGTTCGAAAATCCCATGTTATTTAAATGGGACAAGTATCATGATTCGGGCACGGTTTAAATTAAAAATTAAGAGCTTGTTCAGGTTGGATAATTTTTTTAGAGCCAAAACTAAAATTTCAGAGGGCGGCAACAAAAAAAAAATCAACTTGGGAAATAACGGACACCCTAGACTGCACATTCGTACCATTGCTCTGCCCATAGTTGGTACAGCTCCCTTGAACCACGTCCGTATTCCTTCCTCTCTCATTATTCGTATCAAGGCGTCAATCACGTTATTATAGTTCCTTCTTTGTTCTGGTGGCAAACGCCCATCTGACGTCATCCTAATCAACGCCACTTCCGCGGGAGTACCTACAAAAGCACCACAAATGCCGGCAAACATACCCATGGTGGCCTTAAAGGCGAAATTCGGTGCTTTGTTGTCTACGGTAGTCAGTTCTAACAGGTACGTGTAGATACCTAAAGGAGAAATTAAATTTATTATTTATTTATTATTTACATCAACAAAACCCATATTCTTAAGGACCATTACTACCGCTTTCCCGTTCAAAATATTCTAATAAAGTTGCGATGAGTTTTTTTATGGCTATTAAGCTATCTTGTACACTTCGCACTAAAATAGGTTCTAAAAAGAACAATGTTCGACTGCAAGATCAGCTAGTAAACATATTTAAGCTTAAAGTATCACAACACTATTTATTTAATCCCAAAACTCGTAATACAAAACTAAAGTGTCAAAACGAATGACAATGTCAGGAAATAAATAATTAAATATGGCAACTTCACATTTTTTACAGCAGAACTGCCACCTAAATCCCCAGCAGGCAATTTAAATTCCAGTTAGCCCGGCGCCGAATATGCCCATGATTGGTAACAACAAATTTAAAAATCACGCCCTCCATTACGTAACTAAAAGTTTATTTGGTATCAAATATAGTTTCTGTCATTTCCTATTTCGCCGAATATGACTACCTATAACTTTTGAATTTTAAATGGCATCCTCGGTATTTTTTTACTTTATTTGATAGAAAATGACATTCCAAATAGAATGACATACCATATGTCAACATTTGATATTTACGCTTAAAAAATAATATTTAAAATTTCAATCTAGAACGCACTGACTGTATTCTTAACGACAATTTTACTCGAAATACCAAGTATGTTGTACCAAACTATACGTATTTTTTTTAAATATGCTAATGAACCACCCTCGTTCCATTTGAATAAGATGAGTTATGATACATAATACGATTTGTGCACCTTTTAACCGGCCACGAAGAGACAGAAAATACATACATACATACAGCCGTTACTCGCTGACGAGTATGCGACATACATAAAGAAGATGGTCACGCAAGGCGTTTTCTTTCATGAGCTTTTCTGTGACTGAAAAGCCCGATACGTGATGTTGATACGTGATGTTAAAATAATAAATAATAAAAAAAAATAAAAATAATTTTTTTTCGTATTTTTGCCTTTTGTTAGGTTTATAGGTTTTAGGCTTTTGTTAGGTCAATAAATGCAACATAAAGTTTAGACTGCTGCTCTTTTACTTTTTCCTGTAGTTGACGAATGGAGAATATGGAATCGACGGTGCCGCGGTTGGTACGAAAACCCGTTTGCGATTCTGGAAGGATTTTTTCTATATGTATATGGGTGCAGGCGGTTTGACATTATTTTTGCTAGAATTTTTCCGCCTATAGCCAATAGCGAAATTTCCCAATAATTTCCGCAGTCTGATACACTTCCTTTGTTCTTAAATATATTCACTATATTCGCGTTGCAAAAGTCCTGAGGTACCTCTTCGCTTTCCCATACGACATCGAAGAGAGCCTTAAGATGACCAATAAGTTCTTTACTTGCACACTTATAGATTTCCGCCGGAATCGCGTCACAGCCAGCTGATTTGTTGTTTATAAGCTGTTTTATGGAGTTCTTTATTTCCTGTTCTGTTATTGGGATATCTAATATATCGAGGCTGTTATACTGAGGTATTGTGTTTAGTGCTTCCATATTGGGGTTCTTTTCTTGGTTAAGGATATGGCTGTAATGTTCTTTCCAGCGATTTCTGATTTGTTCTTCCTCTTTTAGAAGTTCACCATTTTGTGCCATGATTGGGCAGTTTACCTTCTTAGTTGGACCGTATATTTCTTTTACAGCCTCGAAGAATTTACTTTTATCCTTTACTTGACGCAGTTCTCTTCGAAGCGTGTTGTTGGCTGCTTTAAAGTTGGTCCAGTCTTGGATTATGTGGATTTGCAGTGACTGCTTGATGTGCTCTATGCTTTTGTTCCAACAAAGCCTGTATATGCGGTTGATTTTCGTTAAACCAGTCTGGTTGTTTCTTTTTGTTCGACTTTCCCAGTACTGCTTCGCTGGTTTTATGAATCGCATCCCTTAATTGTGTCCAGCCTTGTTTAGCTTCCAATATTGAGATTGAAGTGATACTTTGATGGCTTCCCGGAGGGCGTCGGCGGTATTGTTGTTCTCTAGACCCCGTACGTTCAATCTGGTCATGTCATGTTGTTATGCATTTAGAGAGACAGGAAAAACATTTAATGATTAAATCTATTTTTCGAAAAATTCTGGATTAAAAGTTAATAGTTTTAAGCTAAAGATTGAAATTTAAAATACGATTTTTAAGCGAAAATGTCAAAAGTTTACAAATTATATGTCATTCTATTCAAAATGTCAATTTTGATGATATAAAGTTAAAGAATATTGAGTAAAAATCAAAAATTATAGTAATTTCCGGTGAAACAGAAGGAGACCACAACTAATAATTGAATATGTCAATCAATCCTGATTTATTTTTTATACCAATGTACAATATGATCGAAAAAAAACGACGTAAGCGATGGCATGAAATGAAGATCGTTGTCATTTTATATGTAAAATTATATGGAGAATGTCATCGATCTTTATTTCCAAGCCAACTAAAATCCGTTTTTTTTCGATCATACCATCATACCATCTCGTTTTTTTGTCAAGTGAGTAAAAGGAAGTAGTAAAGTAACAAAATTTAAAGAGAAATAACAAGATAAATAAATTTCTTAACACATATACAAGGTAATATACGAACATGCTTCAAAACACAAAATACACTTAGATCCATTTTAACACACACTAAACCAAACAAACAAGAAATCTAATATACAAAATACCATGTGAATGTGATAAATTTTATATTGGTGAAACATCTAGACCCTTAAATGTTCGAAACTAAAGATTATTTAAGAAAGGACGATTTTCACAAATCTAAGATTTGTCAGCATTCGTGGGACACAGGACACAATTATGATGAAAGAAGCGATAGCCTCTAAAAGAAAAATAAAAGTGGTTTTTTTTAATATAATCTAATAAAAATAAATGGATTGCTCATGCATCTGTAGATGTTAATAATGTATGGCAATCGCTTTTTATAAAAGAGACATTGGTCGATATTTCAAAAATTCATATAATAAGAGAAAATCTCACAAAACTACTAGATTCTAACATAAGGTACTATCTTATGTTGAAACAAACCATACGATTCAATTTTTATTAATAAACGAAAAATCTCCGTTGCAATGAAAATTTTACAAGGTAACTTTGTACTGCAATAAACTTCCTTTAAAAATCCTTTAAAAAAATATATCTCTTTAGACATATTTTTACAATACACATTTTTCAAATAAATTACACACCTAAAGGTGAAAGATTAATGTATTTATATTTCAACATCGACATATAAAATTTCGATGATTTATATAGGTGTACGAATTTCTGGCTTCACGGCCATCGTATATGAAAAATTGCTGTTTGAGATTTCTTTGATGGCTGTCAAAATTTTATTTAAACTGGGCCACATGGTGCAGCCGATGTAAACTGATATGTACAATATCGTAAATTATAGTTTAAAAATATTTGGAAACCCTCGAGGCAAAGTGATTTTTCATATGTTATTTGAGTCAAAGTTGTTTATATGGAATATTTTTGAAACCAATAATAGTTAAACCTTACAATAATTACTAAGTTAAAACAAACCTATTAAGTACACAATAATTTCGAAGAGTAGTTGAAAATTACACGATAAGTTTAATGACATAATGAAATGATTAAATTCACTCATAACTCTCATATATCAGATGTCAAAAAAAATATACAGGGTCCTGAAATAAGTGCAAATATTCTAACTGATATTATACAAGGTGTCCCAGAAATAAGTGCAAGTATTTTAACTGGTAGTATAGTTCAACCCCAGAAACACGCCTATGAGGTATTTTTCGCGAATTTTTTTTTTAAATTCGGAATTTTTTGAAAAATTTTTTGGATTTTTTTTAGTTAATAACCATAATTTCTTGATAATATGGCAATATAGGTAGTAGATTAAATTTACAAGAAAGAAAATCCAGAAAAGATCCAGTGGTGCTCAAAATTTGAGCAAAAAATGATTTTTTGGAAATTTTCAAAGTAAAATAACTCTGTTATTATGGACTTATTTAAAAAACCATAAAGAGAAAATATGTTTCTTTTATCGATATCTAGCACCCCTTAAAATACTTGCACTTATTTCTGGGACACACTGTATTTCGGCGTCAGAAACACGCCTATTAAGTTTTATTGCGAAAAAAATATTGAAAATTTTGTATTTTTTTACATTTCCTGGGAAATTTTAAAAAACTTTTAGTGTCACTTGTTTATTCACCTGAGTCGTCGAACAAGCCTGGTGAAAAATCTTTAATATTCGGATATCACCAGCGCTTCTCAAAATGTTGTCATTATTTTTTAAATTTTTAAAGTTAAATAACTCGGTTATTTTCAATTTATTTTAAAAATGGTAAAGAGAAAAGATGTTTCTTTTGACCAGATCTAACCACCCCTTAAAATATCTGCAGTTATTTCTGGGACACCCTGTATAGGAAATGGGAAACTTTAACAAAAAGGGAGGTTAAATTGATTGGAAATGAAAAGAATAATGCAGCTAAGGATAAAATATTAAATGCAGAAATAGATTATCGCATATGGTTTATTTAAAATTGTAATATGGCGGTTCATAACGTCAATTTGACTCGGTGTGGTACCAAATGCTTAAAATGCCAATTGCTAAATGCTTTTTCCATATATGCTAATAAGGCGACCTTGTTCCATTTGAAAAAATTAAGATATGATTAAAAATACCATTTGACCATCTTTTAATCGGCCAGGACAAGACAAGTAAAACTTTAAAAGATCAAATATATTTTTCCAAGGCTCCTTGATTAAAAATTAGTATTAGTTGAACACAGCCATGGCACTCCAGATCGAAATTTAAAATACGATTTTTCTTTAATCGAAAATGTCAAAAGTCGACATATGATATGTCATTCTATGCAGAATGTCATTTTCTATCGAATAAAATAGAAATATACAGAGGATGCCATTTAAAAATCAAAAATTGTAGTCATTTCCGGTAAAACAGGAAATGACCAAAAATAAATGAATATGGCAATCAATCCTAATTTATGTCATACACTAACATACCAATTCTCGTTTTTTAATCCAAAAATAAAAATATTATATGGTGCACCCGGTATATTATATAGTGACTTGCTAGTTAAAAGTTATTCCATTATTTCCCTCGATTTTTGACCGAGATCTACCGCACGCTACACAATCAACGAACAACTATTTTACAGTCTTTTTCGATAAATCGCAATAGTATCACTATTAATTTAAGTTCTGCCACACAAAAGTTTCCTTTTATATTTACCTCTAAACAACTACCAGTTGTAGAATAAATAATCAATAACATAAAATAAGCTCAGTAAAGGCCGACAAATCCTCAAAATTTCAAATCAAATTTAAATGTGTCAAATTAATCGTCAAACAGAACTGTCAAAGATCCCCACCCTAGGGCACTACCTCCTTCTACCATGCATAATGAATACATGGATATCATTATATGTACTCATTCCTTAAGTTTTTTTTATTCGAAGCCAATAATTAGCTCATAAAAAAATAAACTTTTGATTTATAACCACAATTTCTCTTAACGGTTGGTAATGGCCAAAATGGCATTAAGCTTCATTCAGAACCTAGCAATTAGTGGAATAAATTAGTAGTTTCAATTACACTTTATACTTTTTAGTTTAGGGTCATTCACAATGTTTAAAATACACAATTAAAATTAATAGAATATCCTATCAACAGCTTGCGTTAAACAGTTGTATCCACAGAGAAAGCCTAATATAATTAGCTTATAAAACAATCAACTTTGGATTTCTAACCACAATTTCTCTTGACGGAAGATAATCAAAAGCCAAAATGATATTTCTCGCAAATTTTGAACTATAATTAGTGGAAAACTTGAAAGTTTCATATCTTTTTCTACTAACGGAAAATGTCTACCACTAATTTTGACGTTCTGAATGCGTACATTTAAACTAAGGAAACAAACTTCTACGCTAATTGTAACCACAAATGTATTCCACTAATTGCGAGGTTCTGAATGAAGCTTTATGCTTTTTAGTTTACGACCATTCACAATGTCTAAAAAACATAATTAAAATTAATAGAATATTCTAGCAACCGCCCGCTGTAATCAGTTGTATCCATAGAGAAAGTCTAATATTTAGCTTATAAAAATTTTATAAAACAATATACTACTTTTGATTTCTAACCACATTTTTCTTGACGGATGATAATCAAAGGTCAAAATTACATTAGTCGCAAATTTTGAAGTATATTCATTCATATTGGCAAAAGATAAAAGTTTGTTAACTTTTTCTACTAATTGATTATTACTACAACTAATTTTGACGTTCTCAATGCTTACATTGAAATTAGAGGAACAAACTTTTACGTTAATTGAAACTACTAATTTACTCCACTAATTTCGAGATTATGAACGAAACTCAAGTAACAAAATTAAACATTTGTTTGCAAACAGTTTTAAAATAATTGTTTCAAGTGAGAGTGGCAAAATTCCCAAATACTTTGTGGTTAATCCGATTTTACACTTCACAGTAGGTAATAATAATCACAATTATTTGAAACGAACACCAGATGTAAACGAAAACAAAATCTTATTTTTAACTAACTTACCTAAAAAAATAATAAAAAACTGTTATAGAACAATATTTCTCAGATATATATTTTTTAAAATAAATAGAAAAACAGCAAAAATGTCGAAACTCTTAAAAAGAACGTTTCCGTGGTATAAAATCCGCGTCCTCTGTTGTTTCTAAAGTTTCAACTAGGATTGTTCCTGACACTTTTGAAGCTGCTTCAAAGAGCAGGAAATATCTATGGACATACGCGTTATTGATGAAAGCCCTCGCCAAAGATAAATGAGCTTTTATGGCTATGAAGAAAATCGATACATAAACTCGACATGGCGTGTTGCATTTGGGATATTCCATAGAAATTCGATACCTGGCCAGTAAAAACCGTGCTTAACGCATGAGGGGACAGTTTTGGGATTTTATAATACATATAAGGTTTATCTAAAAAAAATAGTAAAAAGATAAAGCAATATAAAATCATTAATAAATAGTGTTAATAAAGTAACATAATTGCATTAAAGATAAACACGCTTCGCAATAAACAGATTAAGGAGGGATGCAAATTAACAAACCTAAAGACTGTTCAGCCATCGATCACCGTTAAGTCATGATTATTTGTCAAATATGAGTTTTAGCAGCACCACCTCAACTGAAAGCCAATCAACATGATATGGACAAGGCAAATATGGCGGCGAAGGCAGCGCATTATTAAATTGTTTACCCTTAACCTGAAAAGCTGGTAGTGGTTTCTCGTTCCGATTGCATACCAGAAATACTTAATTATCTCTAGTTTGTTGTGCTTCTGCAACACGTTTCTTTAGTTCTTAGTGTTCAGTGCATGGTGTGATCAGAGATTTGTGATAAAATAAGAGTGTAATAAAAATCCAAACCAGACATTCCACATAGGGAACTTCAAACTTTTGTGCTTGTCGAATATAGGATCCTATATCTCCTACGCGGAGCAAAGGGCTTCAGTTCAGTGAAAGCTCTCCATCGGGTTCTATTTTAGCAGTTATTTTTGCTTCCTTCCATGTTGACCCTGTTTGTTGAAGCTCATCCAGTATGGAACGTCTCCATGTTTGAGTATCAGATCGTCCCTGCCTTCTTTTTCCTTGGTTATTCCACTCCAACGCTGATCTCGCCATATCAGGTTTCCGCAAGGTGTGACCTATCCAGCCCCATTTTCTTTTGCGGATTTCAATGCCTACTTCTTTTTGGTTTGTAAGATGAAGCAGGTCGGTGTTATTTGTGCTTGTCCTACTCCTGTATTATTAATTATTTTAAGGTAAGAACTAGAAGTTTTGGCCCCTTTTTTTGCTACTCGTATTTTTGTTTATTTATTATATATACCCTATCTAAGCCTTCTTAGCTCCATCTACGGTAACATGGATGAAGCAAGCCAGAACTAGAAGTATTTATCAAGATATTAGGTACACCTAAATGAGTAAACCGCCAGTCTGCATAGTACTTTATAATGGTTACTTACAATAATAAAAAGATAGGTATTAAAGGATTAACATTTTATTGTAGCATGCCTTTTGCATCCTCTGTTCCAAATTGTCACGGGAATTATAGAGGGGGTCCCAAGATTTCCGCTTTTATATTCCCCAAAAATGACGAGCTACGTAAAAAATGGTTCACAGCTATTAAAAGAGAAAATTTCACTCCTACTAGTAGTTCTCGGGTAAGAAGTGCATTAAATATACCGAAAAAAGTCGCAGTCGAACATTATTCTTTTTTAGAACCTCTTTTAGTGCGAACTGTACAAGATAGCTTAATAGCCGTTAAAAATTCATCGCAACTTTATTAGAATATTTTGAACGCCGGCGGTAGTATTCTCCTCGCCTCTTTATGTCCCTTAAGTGCTGTTAAGAAGGTGAGTTTTGTTGATGTAAATAATAACTGTTTATATATTTATAATTAATTTATTTTTGTTTCCTAAAATATTTTGATAAAAAAAATATATAAAAGTGAGCAAACGCTGTGCTGGTCAAGTTTAATCACGTGACTAAAAGTTTATTTGGTATGAACTTTATATATTTTTTATCTTTTTACCTAATCGCGTTGTAGTGTAGGTCGCCTGTCTTAACAGGCCAGCTGACAAGCCATTATACAGCGTCAAAAATCCTTCGTTTTTTATTACACCCGTGAGAACTTCAAAGGATGTTTTTCGCTCGGCCCTTGAACCTACTGCGCTCATCTGCATTCGATTCTTCAGCAGATCCAACGGCTGTACCACGCAAGTACCCATCATACCTTAGAATAGACATAAAGCTGTATTATCTTAATTACTATTATCAGGAGGCAGCTGTAACTTCGTTGTGGATAAAGCAAGAATATTAATTTTCACCACACTTGAAGACATACTATAGCTGGCTAGATTACCGAAATATCTAGTAATTATACCTCATAAGTAGTCATGGGATCACTTGAGACAGAGAGCCACTTCCGGTCCAGACACCAAATTCCAGGAACCCAATCAGATAAGAACATGTAAAATACGTTAATAAATAAGGATAAACAGGTTTGAGCCGCGGTGAACCGCTTTAAAACAGAAATAAACAGGTTTGAACAAAAAATTAACAGGTCTGTTGTTTTAAACTAAAAGCTGTTCAAAGCAGTTCAAAAGCGGTTCACCGTGGCTCAAAGCTGTTTATCCTTATTTATTAACGTATTTTACATGTTCTTATCTGATTGGGTTCCTGGAATTCGGTGTCTGGACCGGATGTGGCTGTCTGTCTCAAGTGACCCCATGACTACTCTCATAGTTTATGAATTATTGCTTGTCAAATTTCTTTAATTTCGACATTGACTCACTGATACATTATCAAAATTCTAAGGTACTTCTAGTAAAGAGTAGTGTCACAAACTTCAAATTTTGAATTTTAGGTAGCTTTAAGCTTATAACCAAAACAAAAAATTAAAAATCTCTAAATATTCTTATAGATTAAAAGTTAGCTGTCTAGCCGTTACCGGTAACTGTCTTTCCGGCGATGGTAATAGGAGGACCGGTGATAGGATTGTTTTGAAAATTTGGATTTTTATATAAAGACTCCTGCTCCATCTATCAAAAAATATTATCAGCGTTACAGTGTTGGCGGATCATTTGAAAAGTGGTAGCATCTTTGTTATTTTAAGTGGAACACCAGTAAATTATTACATTTTTGGAAGCTACTCTGATATCTCATAATTTTTTTATTATACTAACTTATACCTATCTCTTATAGATGTCGAGATAAAAAATAAAATTCACAAAAACATAATTTTGAATAAGCTTTGGTAAAAATATGAATTTTTAAAGTTGAAATTTGGGTTATAACGAAAAGTCAGAAACACAAGTCGTTAGAAAACTAGAATTAATCCATTTGATATTATCTGACTTTATACAATAATTCAAAGTGGATGAATTATTGCTAGTTATTAAATATTATTTTCTTAAATATTATTTATATATTATAAAATATTATATAAATATTATTTTGAATAATATATTACTCTAGAAAGTAATAGAAGGATAACATAACAAAAAGAAATGAGATCCCTTCAAAAACATAGAATGTAAAAAAAAACAACGCTTTATTGTACAAAAAGCCAAAACAGCTTCATCGACAAAACAAAAAAGCAGAAAAACACATATACAAATATTGAAAAAAATGTCATACAAAACAAATCAATTCAAAAAAATTTACGTCATAAAATTACAAATAAAACATATATGGACATTGCAGAACACAGGCGTATTTAGAAAATTTTACAAAAGGAAAACTGTAAATGGATAAAATCATGTTATATATCATAAAATCAAGAGTTATAAAATATTAAATACTAGACCTTTAACCAGTGTGTGAGATGATCAAAATTTTAAAATTCAAAATTGTTCATGATTAAATATCAACAAAAAAGTCGTTTACCGCATATAGGGCTCTCTCCAGTAAGTATGATTTCAGAGCTTTGCGAAATGCGAGAAAGAATGAAAGTGACTTGATATTCGAAGGCAAGTGATTGTACATTTTCTTGGCATTGTACAGTATTGAGCCCTTAACTAGTTCTGAGCTCGGGGTTGGCAGATAAATATCGTGCTCGGCATTCCTAAGTGGATATTTGTGAAAAGGCATTTCCGGAATAGAGAATATGTGCTTGCGGATTAAGCAAACGGATTCAAAAATGAATAAGGAAGGAAGAGTCAGTATTTTGAAATTTTTAAAGAAATTCTGGCATTCTGGAAATTCTACTGTTTAGTCCCAATAAGTATCGAACTGCTCTCTTTTGAAGTTTGAAAATACGATCAAATTTTGTCGCGCAGCAAGTACCTCAGAATGGAAGGGCATAACGAAGATGCGACTCAAAAAGGGCATAATAGACCATTCTAGAGGTTGATGAGTTAAGTTCCTTAGAAACTGATCTTAGCGCAAAACAGGCAGAGCTTAGTTTCTTTGATAAGGCTTCGATGTGCAAGTCCCATTTTAACGAGTTGTCTACAACATGTCCTAAGAATCTCACAGAGTCCACGACGTCAATAGTGGTGTTATTAAGTACAAAAGGTTGTATAGTACTTTTATATGACAAAACTTTAGTTTTGAAAATAACGAGTCTCGCAACATAATTCTTCCACTATAAAAAGTTGTGAGATCTCATGTAAAACCAAGTCAATTCATTTTATTTAATTTTCTTTAAGCACATATTCAACAATTTTGTTACAAATTGTTAGGAGTAACACAGATTAGGTATACTATATGTATACAGATACAAATCTTATCCCTAATTCGTGATACGAACATTGTATTTTATGACGATGAACAAACGAGTACAATTTCCGGTGCGCAAAAATAAACTCGCGTTTAAACAGCGTCATAACTGGGCCGGTCAGGCGCCGTGTACAATTTTAGAGGCCATAAGTGGGCGTGCTATGTGCGCAAACTAGTAACCGAACTAGTGCGCGACTCCAAAATTGGAACCACGAAAAACAATGTTTTTGACGATAAGTTTATAATCTGTATAATCTGTGGTATTAATATTAATCACCTCTATTTCTGTAATAATTATAATGACTTGACAATTGCACAGCACAATAATTATAAAAAAATAATCTACCATTAACATTAACATTAAACAGTGCCCTAGGAAATAAAGTTTTTTAATTAGTGTAGAATATCATATCGTTTGCCCAGTCTTACTTACTTTACTGCCATTACTCGCTGACGAGTATTTGACGTGCATCAGAAGATGGTTACGCAAGGCGTTTTCTTTCATGAGCTTTTCTGTGACTCAAAAGCCCGATACGTGATGCTATCTCTCTTCCCCACTCCGGACATTCAAAAATCTCATCACTTTGTTGCCGCTTTACTTTTTGGTTGTCGTTGTTAACTGAGCTTACAATTCTCCTCCATTTCGTTCTATTGTGCGCTGCTTCATCCCGCTGATGCTGCGTACTTATCCCCTTGAAGTTTTCATGGAAAACATCCTTGTATCTTTTGAGTGGTCCATCCGTTTCCTCTTACCCTCTATAAGTTCACCGTAAAGAAGAAATTTCGGTAGGCGGTGTTCTTGCATCCTGCATACGTGGCCATCCCATCTTAAGCGAGATTTAGTAATCATGACTTCAGCGCTCTCGCAGCTTTCTTTTTCAAGGGCTGATACGTTTGAGACATGTGGGTACCATTTGATTCTTAACAGTTGTCTAAGATATCTCTGTTGGAACTTAGTTTTAGAACTTGGAGTTTAATGTTCTCGAGTGCCGGCGGTACGGCACCCAGGTTTCGCTTCCATATAGCATGGTGGGGATTATTACTGCTCGATACACTGCAAGTTTCGTTTTTGTGCTCAGGTCATGTTTGTAGAAAACCCTGTCTTTTAATTTCCAGAATGCTCTTGAGGCGCTGCCTAATTCTGTACTGAATTTCAGAGTCGATATTTGCCTTTTCCGAAATCAAACTGCCAATGCTCAGTTCCAATAGTTCTTCTCCGATTTTTATAGCGCTATTAAGATTTTCCGGGGGAGTGCACATGATTTTAGTTTTATCGATGTTCAGTTCAAGGCCCAAAGTATCGTATGCCCAGGTATATGTGTTCAGCATTTCCTGTAATTACTGTAACGTATTTTCAAATAGAGCGCAGTCATCAGTATACCTGTATCTAACACCCATTCCTCTTTCCTACAGTTTGCTGTCCACTATAATTGAGAGCGCTGCCATGAATATGTTGAATAGGAGAGAAGCTAGAACACATTCATTTGCCAAGCCTCATTATAATAATTACAGAAATAAAGATGACTAATAATGATACTAACAATTTGTAACAACATTGATGAATATATGCTTAAAGAGAAACTAAATAAAATAAACTGACTTGGTTTTACATGAGATCTTACAACATTTTATAGTGAAAGAATTGTGTTGCGAGACTCGGCATTTTTTAAATCCTATGTTTTTGATGGGATTTAATATATTTACATTGTTACAGAGTGATCCACATTATAAGAGCCGATCAAATAACAATCAATAGAAAACCTTCAGGGTCAAACATATTTCGTTTGTAAAATGCATGGTGTTGAATTTTAAAAAAAATCAATTATTTTTGACATTATACGAATCTAAAAATATTTCATCTAATTTTGATATACATACTTCCAGCAATCAAATGGAATAAATTAGATAATAAAGGGTGTTTGTCCAAAAAAAAACGCTCAAACGCCATAGAAAAAAGATACTTCGATTGGTATTTTTGTTACGCATTTGTTCATGTTTCAACATGTTCCAAAAAATATACATACAGGGTGTTTCAAAAAACATGTGCCATCTCTCGTGGGGAGTACGTACTCTCCTCACGTAAAAATAATATTTATGTTTCATATCAACATAGGTCCGATTCTGCTTTGTTTCGTAGCTACAGAGTGTTAAAGTCTTAATAATCTTTCGATTTATTATTATTTTCTTCCAAGTAGTTTTAGTGATTCGACTGAAATTTTGAGGGTAAAAATTACTATAATCGCTACATATTTTAATGCTAAAAAAGTATCGATAAATTCATCAGGAACGTGCATATGGGTTATCACTGAAATATTTAAAAAAAAAACATGTGCGCCACTGACTTTTTTCTTTTTATATCAATATTGTGTAGGCCGTTTAATTCCAATTAAAAGTTATTTCTTGATATTTTGTCAAATACCTCCTTGATGAGATTAACTCAATTTTATTGATCACAATTAATAAAATTAAAATAAATAAATTATATACCGTAAAATGGGGGAATAGAAACATAGTATCGAAAAGAAACAAAGGTATACCGAAACAAAATTTCTGAAAAAAATCAAATCACGATTAAAAATATTCAAAGTAAAAAGAGTCGACATATCTAATTTTTCTATCCTTGGTAATACACAATAAAATGTAAAAACTATATTTTTATCTGTAGCAGCACTGTTTCTGTCAATCAGCTGATCAATAAATGTGAGATCGATTTATCACCTATTTTGTATGGCGTGAAAACTTATAAAAAAAATAAAATATTTATTTTTAAAGTAATACATAAGCTGGTACATGTAAGTTGTTATATTATATGTATTGTTAATTATTGTTAAACCTTCTTAAATATGTAATAGTTTACTGTTTCTAATCGCCTTGTTGGAAGTAGAATAGATAAAAACCTTAATATCAATGTGTGTTTCTATTCTCCCGAATAGCAGGTGAATAGAAACAAAAATGTTATTTTTATTTAATATTTATACGCATATTTTTCAAAAATCAAATTATATGTATACGCAAAGAACAAACAAAGACCCATGTTTTAAAATATTCGGGAAAATAATACCACATTTTTATCAACCGTTATATCGCTAATAGCCTACGAAACTGCTTCTATTCACTGAATTTTACGGTATTTTACTTAATTTATTATTAAATATTATTACATCAGTTATTATTACTATTAGTCCAAGATACAGCATTTTCAAATAAAAAATAATGGAATTGAAGATAATTACAAAAAAACCTAATTTTAAAACAAAAAGTTTTTAACATCCTGTAATTCTAAAACTATGCATTTCCATACCCATGTTTATAGGAACTTTTTTTTTCATGTTTTGGGATGAGGAATCAATGAGTACTTATTTAAAACTTTCGCAAGTTAATGATATTGTTACGTTTTTCGTCGGTTCCGTGTGGATAGAAAGTCACAATTTATTTAAACACTATTTATTTAACACTAATTAACAAAAACAATAACGATAACAGACTTAAAGAACTGTTTACAAATTATTTATAACTAAGAATTTATTTTTGAATTTTAGCGCGTCAACTGCACTCGTCTATTTATAACTGCCCTCTCTAGGCCACAGCCGCCGGCTTTTATACCTACAGTTAAAGTTTACTAGAATAGGAATAGTCCATAGATCGTTAGGTGCATAGAGAAGGTTTCGAATGTTCTCGTATGTACTACTCCATTCCAGTGGGACTCGATTCTTCTCGAATCTTCGAATGAATCATTACGGTGTCTATTCTTTAATGCGATGTTAAGGTCATCCGAGGGCGGGCCATATAGTTAGGTTAGGTCGAGTCCACACCGGTCCGCAACAATATTATTTTTTTTAAGGTTTGCTATTCAATTTGGATCAAGGCAAATTAATAAAATTGCGTTTATCTCATCAAGGAGGCCGAAATCGACAAAATATCAAGAGACAACTTTTAATCGCCATTAAACTGCTTACACTATATCGCTAACAAGTGAAAAAAGTTAGTTGCGTCATCCTTTTTTTTGCGAATATGTCGAGACTTTTTTAGCTTTAAAATATGTCGCATTTATAGTAACTTTTCCCCTCAAAATTTCATTCGAAACGCTAGAAATACTTGGAAGAAAATTATAATAAATCGAAAAAATATTATGAATTGGACCCGAGATTGGACCTATGTTGATACGAAAAATATATATTATTTTTACTTGGGGAATCTCCTCACGGGAGATGGGCCGTTTTTTAAAACACCCTGTATAAGCATCATGTAATATAATAAGAATAAGCGCAGTAGTATAGTGAAAGTCGCAAATTATCAAAAACAAGCGAAGATGACTAGCTGGTGCTCAATAAGCTGTGATTATTATTTGTTAGTATTTAGATATGTTTTTAAATGCTAAATTTAGTACACACTTACCAGCTGAACCACCAAATAAAAATTTAAACCCGTTGGGGATTGGCTTTTCTTTTTTTTCTGACATTGTTCACTGAGAATTTTGATAATTTTGCTTATTGAAATTTTGTCTTTACATAATCCTTTTCTTTATGTGTTTTTTTATACTTTTTTTAAATTTTGATGAGCAAAATGAATACGAAAAATTTTGAAATGTGTTGTCAAAAAATTTGAAATGTATTGTTAAGTGTCACTAAACATTTTTTTTGGTTATTAAAATACAGGGTGTGCCAATATTCCGTGGACATTGAACTACTACGTATTTTTGGAATCAAACTTTAAAAAAATAAATCCTTTTTCTTCTATGGAAAATTTTGAAAATTTTATGAAAACATTTCCAAATCACCTTTTTACGTAGAATTTAATGGTTTAAGTATAATATTTTTAAAATTAATATTTTAAGAATTATCAACAGAAAATTTGATTTTTTATATGGGACACCCTGTATATTTTTAATTTATTGAAACAATATAAAATTTCCTTTCCAAAAATATAGCACACTTGATATATTGCTCGATTCCTCTTCGAGATATAGAGTTTATAAAAATTCGCCCACTTTAAATAAGTAGGCTTTGAACGGCGCCGACTGTAATGCAAAAAAATTCTAGCTGTGAGCATCAATTAAAATAAAAATAATATTTACAATGAGAGATGCAGAATTTTATAACAATTTAAACTATATTTAACAACATCAACACATTTAAACTATATCTAATAACAATAAAAATAAATAGCAACCCAAGACATGAGATTTTGCTACAGGTGTTTGGCGTTTACGACGACATATAACCGTCTTCTGTCATGGACAGATGGGGCCGTTTTTAAACATTTCTCGCGGAATTCATTAACTCAGTGGGGGTGAAAGGTACCCTCTCATAATTGTTAAGTATTTCTAATTCTTGTCTAGATTATACGGGCAATTTAAAAATAAGAACCTTTACTCTTCCGCAAAGAAAAAACACCATAAGATTAGTTCCATAGGGCACTAAGTCCGGCGACCTCGACGGTTAACGGCTGGGATCTTAGTTAGTTATTCAATTATTCTTGAAATGGCTGCAAATGGTACATCAATAAGAGGTCCAAGGCCTACTAGTTAAAAGTGGCGAACTTTCAAAAATTCTTTATTTCGAAGAGGTTTATAACAAAATATCAAGTGTGCTATATTTTTGGAAAAGTAATTTTAAGTTCTTTTCAGTTAATTGAGAATATACAGGGTGTCCCAAATAGAAAAAAAATTCTGTTGATAACACTTTAATTAAATTACTAATTTAAAAAAAATATACCTAAACCATTAAATTTTACGTAAAAAGGTGCTTTGGAAATGTTTTCATAGAAATACAAAACTTTCTATAGCAAAAAAGTTATAGCGATTTGTTAAAAATGCACGTTTTTGAAAAACACCTCGTAACTCCGAAACGTAACAGATATCGATGTGCGGTTTTCACCATCATATTTTTGATGAAAATTGAGCTACAGGCACCGATATTAGTTTTTGTCTATCTCCTATAGAAAAAGGTATTTGCCTTTAAAAGCTTCCAATTTGACCCACCCTGTACACGGAATATTATTATTATTTATAGGACACCCTGTATACCGGGTAACAATTTTTTTTAATAAATTACGATAATGAATCACAGAATACACACCAAGCCTGTCGCAATAACCTATTTAAAAACAACTTTAAATCAAAATAGAAATATATTTTATCTACTTCGATATACCTATTAAAATAAATTTGTTTAGCTATAAAAAGTCTTTCTTGAAAAATAAAAAAAGAATAGTTAAGAAGAAAAGGTCTCTAACGATTGTTACTCAAGAAAATAATTTGAGAAAATAAAATTGCTAGCGCCACATTTTTCCTTGGAAAAAGCGCCTTTCCAACACTAATGGTGCACACTTTTCTTTGCAGCTCTATTTTTAATTTTTATTTTTGCTTTACAGCGGTTTCTTTTAAGTGGAGACACGCTTTAATAAGAAGAGTTTGTAAAATCGATATGAGGCCAGCCTTTTTTATATTAATACTGTGTACTCGATATTTTATATCGATATTTTCAATACGATATGTCAGAAAAGTGGTTAAAAAAAGAAATACAAAATTTGTTAAAGGTTTTGGAAGAGTACTTATTAAGTAAGCTTTATTTTTATACCTATATATATATATATAGTCACCTTTATTATTTTTTATTAGATGCAAGTATGACGTTCTTAAGATTATACATAATACCACTCTAAGTGCACTCCCCCGGAAGATAAACCCCCAAAAGATAAATTGATATAAATAAGAACAATAATGGGATAAAAATCGGACAAAAACTATTGGAATATGTAGCGGAATTCAATTACCTTGGCAGTTTGATTTCGTAAAGGTCAGTTTCGACTCTGAAATTCAGTACAGGATTAACAGCGTTTCAAGAGCATTCTGGAAATTAAAAGACAGGGTTTTCTACAATCATGACTTGAGCACAAAAAATTCACAGATTTTGCAACATGCGCAACCATCATAGGCGTATTGAAAATACCAGACAAAAGTCGGCGGTTGTCGAAAATCACCTGTTTTTTTACATTTTATATTAACTTGTGGCGTCATTTGGAAGAGCTCAATAGAAATATAAAAGAACTAAACCTTGTTCGTTGGAAAGCAATTTGACATTCGTGACGTCAGCACTCCGGCAGTCTAACGTAAACGTATCATTGATCGCTATTCACAAATATATTCCAGATACGTATAGTGAACAAGTTTAACGTTCGCAACGTTAAATAATTTTGATATTTGATTTTTATCATGATGGTTTTTTGTAAAAGTGAAGGATTTAGTGAGAAAAATATTAATGATGGATATGAACGTGTGCGGATTCGTGATTGGTCACGATCACAGTCACGACACTATGACGGGCTCTTATACCCACGTAGAGCCCAAAATATGCAAAAGGGGGTCAGTTTAACTTAAGTTTAGATTAGGTCTATATTTTTTATTAATGCAAAACCAACTAAAACCTAATTCTAATCTAACCTAAACTCACTTCTTATTTTGCATATTTCGGGCTATTACCTGGGTATTCCTAGGTTTAACCAATATTCGATCAGATAATGCAGATTTTAATGTGCCATTTGTGGTTTTTTTATTGGATTTTATTTGACTATTTGGTATATTCTATGAAGTGATTTTAAGTGCTCCTGGCCATTTTTCAATTATTAAAGTGCCTATTTAGATACATTTAAAATGAATTAATTCGTGTATAGTATTTGTATTATGAGTTTATTTTTTTATGAGATGTATTTTTTTTCCATTAAAATAAACATAGCTTACTAGATCACTAGCTAGCCATTTTTAAATACAGGGTGTTAATTAAGTATCTGGCCAAACTTCAGGAGGTGATTCTTAGTGATACAGGGTGTCAAGGTGTTTTCTAATAGACCTTTTTTATTAATATCCCAAAGATCCGTTGGCCGATTTTACTGAAATTTTGCCATGTTGTGAACTTTGATAAGTTAGCACTAATTAAATGATAATTATTATTTACAACAATATTCAAAGGATAAAATCTTATCCCAATACATATTTGGCAACGCCTTGGATTCATGTGTTTTTACGCCTGTTGGCGGTGGAAACCATGCAAGCTTTTTCTTTGGCCTAATTGTTAATTAAACAAATAATAATCATAAAAAATAAGCGTCCTAATAGCCTAAGTTTTAGCAAAATGTATCAGCAGATCCGATGAGATCCGAGTTATTATGTTTTGGAACTTAATGATTTAATTAATTATTCCCTTTAATGCATTTACCTATCCTACGCGCCAAGAAAAAATTTATTATTTATGTGATTCCACTCCTTCACGTATAATTTGCCTCTTGCTTCTCATACGGAAAGAGTTAGATTAAAATAGCCAAACTGTACCTAACAACCCATATGCCTTGACGCACATTCATTTTTATAATAATATGGGCTTTCTTTATCCGCCGACCCAGACATACATCCATATCCATAAAATAGTTGGGCCACACACATACACACACACTGATAAATTAATAAGACCTCATTTCGGCCCTCAAACGTCCTTCGATGATCAACGCTGGCTAAACTATCGACTTACGTGTTGACAAGTTGATTAGGCAGGTTATTGAACTCGTGTGGCATCGAGCATGTCGTTTTTTCAAAGATGGGTCCCATATAAACGCGGCCAGAAGTATTTTCAATACTAAAACGAAACTTGCAGTGTACCGAGCAGTAATAATCCCCACCATGTTATTGGGAGCGAAATCTGGGTGCCGTACCGCCGACATATGAACGCATTAAACAAGTTGTAACAGAGACACCTTAGAAAACTCTTGAGAATCAAATGGTTTCACCATGTCTCAAACGTATCGGTCCTTGAAAAAGTTAGCTGCAAGAGCGTTGAAGTCGTGATTACAAAATCCCGCTTAAGATGGGCTGGTCACATATGCAGAATGCAAGAAAACCGCCTACTAAAATCTCTGCTGTACATTAGGTTTAGTACACATAAAAATGTACTTGTTCTGTAATTATTGTAACCTTATAAATATGACTCAAACAGTACATTAGTTTGAGTCCAATGTAGATCTTAGAGCTGTTAACTTCGGTTTTTATTAAATAAAACATTTTTTAAAAACAACTTGTCTCGAGTTTCTCATTTAATTAATCAATCCTAATTTATGTCATATACTAACATACCAAATCTCGTTTTTTTATCTGAAAAAATAAAAAAGTTATAGGGGGTTTGCCACTTTTGAGACGCACCAGATATATAAACAGGAAGTGACCAAAAACAATTGAATACACCAATCAATCCTAATTTATGTCATATACTAACATACCAAATCTCGTTTTTTTATCTGAAAAAATAAAAAAGTTATAGGGGCGAGCCACTTTTGAGACGCACCAGATATATAAACAGGAAGTGACCAAAAACAATTGAATACACCAATCAATCCTAATTTATGTCATATACTAACATACCAAATCTCGTTTTTTTATCTGAAAAAATAAAAAAGTTATAGGGGTGAGCCACTTTTGAGACGCACCCGATATATATATTTTTTTTCGTTTATACTATTATTTATTAATATCTCTAAAACTATCAAAATATATTTAATCATATGTGATCTCACACTTTTTTGAGCCACCTTGTAGAA